TCAATAAAATTTGGATATAAAAATCTTTTTTTTTCAAAAAGCATGTTTATACTTTCTCATATCATTTAAAATACTTTATCTAAATTACTTTATAAAACAGGCCAGACTCCTTATAGTATTTTATTTGAAGTACGATATAGGATAGAACAAAGTTCTCACCTGCAAAAGATTAAACAACTTAAATTATTGATTGGAACACAATGCAAAGAAAAGATAATTAGACAAACAGTTAATCTTGAACTTATCTTAAAACTTGCACACGAGTTAGCATTAGAAAAAAAAAGTAATAATACTGTAACAATTTTAGTTTTGATATTTGAAAGAAATGAAGTAAATATAGAGATTTCCAGATATAAAAATGTCAATATAATAAATATTTTATATATTTGTACTTAGGTTAAACCTTTTTCAATTATTGAAATTGATGATATTCATCAACTTGCAATTAAGAATGGTGGTGATTTAATTTTCAAGAATGATATAGTATTGAAGCCTTCAAACCTTTTTAAAATTTTAATAGAAAGGATATTTCGACATTGGAATCTAAGTGTAAGTTTATTTTAATTGATTCAGTACCTTATTTCCAATATAATTTAACTGTATTTTAGCTTAAAAGTGCAAGAAGAATGATAATCGATTTATATTTATTAGAAGCAGTTGACCATATGTATGATCTGAAAATTTATAATATTGAAGACAGATTAGCAATATACCCAAAGTATTATATCAAACCCCAAAATATTGAAAACAATTTGACTTTAAAGGGTTCAGTTAATTATCTTACTACTGAAAGATCAGAAGCTACCATTAGTAAGTTGCTAATTAGCGAGTTAAATGCTCTGTTTTCTAATTACTCATAATTACTTTAGCATTACTTCAAGCTAGGCAAAATTTATCAAATAATTGTGTGTTTTGTGCTGTTGAAGCAAAGAAAGATGAATCGTTTGCTCAAGGTGCTGGTGAACTTCTTGGGCAAATGAAGATACTACATATGAGAGAAAAGTATGATCTTAAATCTTTTATTAAATATTTTTATCAAAATTTTTATAATTTTTATTTATGATCTAGAAAACCTATTAATGGTGTACTCATGAATAGATTAAGATGAACATTTTATCATTTAGATAATGGCATTTATTATACAAGTGTAGAAACTTACTATTATAAATATC